GGTCCTGGCCCGCCCGTGCCAACGCCCTGTCGACCGTGTCATGATGGAGAACGTTTTCAATCTCCCATCCGCGCTGCTACCCTCTAAGAAGGGGCGGGGGGAAATCGTCGTGTGCTATCACTGAAAACTCTATGGCGCCTCTTTACTTTACACATCACTATGTACTTTACATGCCAAATTTTGTCGTACGTAATAAAACTGCCAATAATTTCGATAAATTGTCGTGATGCTCTTGAGAGAAATGATCAAATGAACCGTTGACAGTGAGACAGTGAAGCCACAAATTGACATACAAATAATGCCGTAGTTTTTGCATAGGAACAGGGCGTGTTCTCGTGAAGTGCAGGCTCAAATCTCATAAAAGTTATTTGTTTCGCAGCCTATGATTTCTTGTGTAAAATAAAACACCCCCCGCTTATTACGCGTTTTGCAGTACGCCAGTCGTCCAAAGAAATTTGTTCACACTGAATTTGTTCACACTGGTCTTTTTAAAAATGCGTTAGCAGTGTTTAGCGGATCATGTTGACAGAAATCCGCAATCCGTGAATAAAACAGTTCACAAGGTTTTAGTGTGTAATGGACGGGAAAAACGAGGCTGGAGCATTTCCCCGACAGCGGGACCTCAGCAGGCGGCCAGACGTCTGCGATGAATAATCTCGCTTGTCCTCTTATTTCGCGCGTGCTCTCTCCATGGGCTCTCTCCACGGGCTCTCTCCATGGGCTCTCTCCATGGGCTCTCTCCACGGGCTCTCCAGTCCTACCCACTTGTCTCTCCCGCGCGGGGCCACACCGCGAGGACCGCGAGGACCGCACCTCTGCACGGGGAGTGGACGCATAAATATTGAGCTGACGGGCGGGACACTACTCCCATTTTTTGTGTGTCTGTGTGGAAGCGTCCGCCGCCGCCGCCGCGCGGTCCCTGATTGGGATTGTGAGAGCGCGCCAAGTCGTGGAGGAGGCTTTCCTGTTTGCTCTGCGCCCTGCTTCGCCCGCGCCTCCGCTTTTCCCCCGGAGCGCCCCCGCCCCGCCCCGCCCCGCCCCGCCAGCGGCGCCCCGTTCTGCTGCAGACTGGTGCTGGCGCGGCGCCAGGCGGGCCCTGCCGGCGAGGGGGCCGCGTCTGCGATATAGTCCCCGACACGACACATTCCCCCAACCGATTCCGTTTGACCGCCGGGCATGGGACGGACGGACGGTCGGACGGAGTTCTGCGCCGACCGGCTGCCAGCTCTGACTGACTCTTTCAAATTTTTCTCTTCTTCGTACCAGTAAAAACGCACCTAACAAAGGTACCGAGGTACCATGACAAGGCCCCAAGCCGAAGCAACCATGAACAACGTGCCAATCAAGGTACCATGAACAAGGTACCATAAACAAAGTGCGGTGGTTCCTGGACCACATGGAATCGCCCGCACATTACGTCCCCTTTTCCTCTGGTTCATTTGGCAAATGATGGGAGCTCGGCGCCTGCAACACTCCGGGTAGGCCAGCACGCAATACACGCATGCGCTGCAATCAAGATATTGCCTACCTACCAGGCGCTATGCATCGGCTGAACTTGACAGGTTCATAACGGCAAATGACGGGCGTACTTTCTGGATTCTGGATGATCCCTTCGTTATAAAAGTCAGGGTTATCCATTGAGCCTCAAGAATTATAAATACTCACACTCTAAAAAAAAATATCAAACTGATTATTTTTTTAATTTCCTGTTGCAGTGACGACTTGGAATACTGGGGCGTGGACGAGCTGTACCTCGAGTCGTGCTGCCAGCACAAGTTCCATCAGCGCAAGGAGCACGTGCACGAGGAGATGCGCAAGGAGGCGGAGAGCTTGCGGCAGCGGGACGAGGAGGAGTGGGGCGAGGGCCAGTGCACGCAGTACCAACGCTTCCTCTGGGACCTCCTCGAGAAGCCCACCACCTCCATCGCGGCTCGGGTCAGTAGTTAGTAGTGCACTCATGGGCACCGGAAACTTTTAGGGGGCAAACAAATTATCAAGCTTTTCTTGTGTTTTGTAAATCTTCTTTTTAAAATCTTTTACAAGAATGTTCTTTCAAAAAAGAATTTGTTTTTCAATTTTAAGTTTTTATCATTTTTTTTATTAACCATTGTTTCATTTTTTTAAACCCCTTTTAAAAAAGCATTTAAAAAAAAAAATTGGGGCGGGGGAGGTGTCTGTACATACGACAACCTGTGGAGTCGTGCATAGGACGGGTAGGTTCATTGTGCGCGCGTCACGCGGGGAGTATCCCTGCCGTCCGCCCGGAGAGCACAGCATCCGCGATCAAAAGTCCTTCTCGCAGCCCGCGCCTCTTGTCGTTGTCGACGGATGGGGTGGTGTGGAGGAGCGCGTGGCTTTGTTGTGCACTGCCGGTGCCGATATCGAGAAGGGCGTTGGGGGGCCACGCCCGCCTCGTGTGGTGGCTCAGCGCCTGTCAGATCGAGGGTAGGCCTCCCGCTCCGCGCGCACGCCGGGGGGCGGCCCGCCTCCCGGGGGCGAGGGGAGGGCGTCGGTCGGTGGGCCGGCGAGGCGAGGCGGGCTACACTCGTTTTTCTATTGGCTTGGCAGCTGATGGGAGGGGAAGGGCCGGGGAAGGTCATGTCATGTTCTGCCTCACTTTGCCGTTTTTCTCGTGTATAAATCTGGTCGTTTTGCGGGGCGCTGTGCTGGGCTACATACAAGCATGTTTTGGTGTCGATTTTGTTCGCTTACGACCCGCCGCCGACTGAACCATCACACTCGCCTTTCCTCATTGTGTACGCTGCTGATCAATGTTCCTCTCTAACCATTTCTCTTTCTCTTTTTCGCTAGTAGAATGGATGTTTATTTATTTTCTTCTGCAGTGTACACTGCCAAACTTGGCGGGGTGAGAGTGAGACGTTGGTTTTACTTCTCACCCTACCACGCTTGGAGTTTGTTTTCTTCTTCTCAGTAAAGCAATTTTCACTGCATGTGTTACAGAAGCATGTTGTTTTTTTTCATTTACTAACTGTCCGGCTGGGGCCATTGTTTGAAGTGCACACGTCAAAAAACCAATTTCATCCTCTCTTTGTTTCTTTCATGAGAAAATCAACGTCACAGAGAGTAGAGATAAAATGGCCTTTTTGACGTGGCGAGAGGCCTGCCTCTGGCTCCGGCGTGGACCTGACAGTGATGTGCATTCTGCATCGCCATACGTCCCGTCCGCCGGTTCTGCTGTGTTTGTGCGTGTTTCAGCCTTTCAGTCGGACTCCTCTCTCCCTCGTCGATACCCAAGGCCGCAAGGCCACACTGTGAATGGGCACTCGCAATGACCAGGCGTCACACCGCTGCGGCTGACAGGGCCGCGACCGCGCGCTAACCCCTCCCGCCGTGGCGCCATCTGCACGAACGCAAAAAAAAAGTTGTTTTTTTTTATTATTTTTGAGAAAATGATCGGGAGAAATGTTTCATCACGGGCACATGCCTCGTACGTCTGCCCTGCAAACCCGCAGAATCTGTGAATCGTTGCGCAGCAGCTGCTGGTGCTGTGTGATTGGCGTTATCCGCAGATTGGCGTGTTTGGCGCGGCTAACATTTCTCCACGTCAAGTGCAAACGGCGTCAGACAGGGAAGCGGGCGAGCGCGCGGCCGGGGCCCTCTAGCGGCGTTGCTGCGGTATCGGTGTCGTATCGTATCGATATATCGACCCTGAAAGACACGTTTACGTGTAAATAGCTTTTCCTTTCTCTATATCGAACCCGCGCCCCTGCAAAAAAACAAAACTCAACACCCGCCACACGCTGTACAGCCACGCTTCAACCGCGCGTCTCTCTTCTCTCTCACACACATTCCACGACACACGGATCAAAAAAAAAAGGACACGAGACACGCATATTTTGTCTCATTAATCTGCTGATCACCCACCACGTCTCTCTCTCGCTCTCTCACCCTGTTCGAAATGACAGAGGATGTAAGCAACGTCTTCCAGGAACGAAAACAAGACGCTAGAGGGGAGATGGGACAAAAGAGGCAGCCCCCCCTCCGATTGGGGGCCGAGCGGTCGACGCATCGATCATCATTGGCGACCAAGAGTTTCGGCAGACGCGCGTTGTCGCCTGATGAAATGGAAGACGGAGGGGAACACGCACCGACCGACAAGGGGGCCCGGCTCTGACCTCAGAAAAGAAAGAGAGAAAAAAAAAAGAAAAAAAGTTGTATCGGCCGACTCAACGAGGCTGTCGGCAGCAGATGCATGTGCCTGAAGTGTGTGTCGATGTGATATTCAGTATTGCACGTCCTGTGTGTTATGCGTTTGGCTTTGGCCAGCAGATTCCCTAGCTTTTTTTCCGAGCGACTAACCTTTATACATACGTCTTCGACCCGGCTCTTTCTGTCTCAATGTTTGGTGTTGGCTAACTCCCCTCTGCTATTTGATGTGCGGATTTTCTCTCGTTTGTCGATGTTTTTGATTTTGTTAATAGCCAAATTTATTGAACTGATCTCTTGGTCCTTGTAAAGCAGAACTTCCCTTTTTTTCTGGTCGTCATTTCACTTCTTAAATAATTTTCTGTAAATTTTTCTGTGGGGCCCATGTACATTCGGAAACGTTCCCCGGGGGGCGATGATGTCATCCGTGTCGTGTATTTTCCTCCAAATGATAGATGCGGATTTTTAAAATTATTTTCCCTTAACCGCGGACCGCAGAAGAAGAATTAAAGTGAAGGGATGCACTACTGCCCTCACCTGCTCCCCCAGCAGGCTGTTGTCGGCCGCCCTCTGGGCTCCGAGCCGCCTGTGGCGAGGATCCTGGTGGGCGGCCGCTTGACCCTCGGGTGGCGCAGGTGATCGCGGTCGTCTCCATCCTCTTCATCGTCCTGTCCACCATCGCGCTCACGCTCAACACGCTGCCATCGCTGCAAGTGCACGACGGGTCGGCGGGCGGCGTGCAGGACAACCCGCAGCTCGCCATGGTGGAGGCCGTCTGCATCACCTGGTTCACGCTCGAGTACCTGCTGCGCTTCTCGGCCTCGCCCGACAAGTGGAAGTTCTTCAAGGGCGGCCTCAACGTCATCGACCTGCTGGCCATCATGCCGTACTTCGTGTCGCTCTTCCTGCTCGAGACCAACAAGAACGCGACGGACCAGTTCCAAGACGTGCGGCGCGTCGTGCAGATCTTCCGGATCATGAGGATACTCCGTATCTTGAAGTTGGCGCGCCACTCCACCGGGCTGCAGTCGCTCGGCTTCACGCTGCGCAACTCGTACAAGGAGCTCGGCCTGCTCATGCTCTTCCTCGCCATGGGCGTCCTCATCTTCTCCAGCCTGGCGTACTTCGCCGAGAAGGAGGAGCCCGGCACCAAGTTCATCTCGATCCCGGAGACGTTCTGGTGGGCGGGCATCACGATGACGACGGTCGGGTACGGCGACATCTACCCCACGACGCCGCTAGGAAAGATGATAGGCGCAGTGTGTTGCATTTGTGGTGTCCTGGTGATTGCGTTGCCCATTCCCATCATCGTCAACAACTTCGCCGAGTTCTACAAGAACCAGATGCGGCGCGAGAAGGCGCTCAAGCGGCGCGAGGCTCTGGAGCGCGCCAAGCGCGAGGGCAGCATCGTGTCGTTCCACCACATCAACCTGAGGGACGCCTTCGCCAAGAGCATGGACCTGATCGACGTCATTGTGGACACAGGTTAGTAAGGGGAGAAGCTAATCATTATTTTGTTTTGTTCTCTCTTTTCAGCTTGTTTTTCACCTGCCCCAAGCCAATCTGATCATCCCTTCAGCGTGCAGAGACTACTTATATCAACTGCCCGGTATTAGAGCAAATACCCCGAAAACATTGCTTGTTTTCTGTGCTACAACTTTTTTACAGGTAGACCCGCAGATCGGTAAGTTCAAGCAGTGCCGCAAATTCCTAGATGAGATATCTGAGATAGTGAAGAGCAACGCAAAGATAACTGCGTTCCAAAGGTCAAAGATGAGATAAAAATGAAACTTATTAGTTATTCTGTGTCCTATCTTGAAAGGCGAGCAGGAAAAGTAAAGCTCGATACTTCAGCGTTACAAATCCGTTTTCTGCTTGATGCAAACGCCAGTCAACCCATGAGTTTCCTACTGTTCCCTATGGCTGCAGTTGTTTTTCCCCCACCAACGTTTCTCTGATTGTTATAACTTAAGCAGGCTTTTTGGTGGTGGTTTTTCCAAATATTTTCAAGGGTAAAACAGCATTTTATCAATCTAGGTCAAAACAGGATGGGAATGACAACCCTCTCTTACCCCTCTACGCGCACGTATTTTTTTGTCCAATGACGCACGCACACATACACACACACACGCCTACACGAGCGCTGGACAGGACAGGATGGGTCGAGTCGTCCCTCCTGCACTGCGGCGCGCATCCCCTACTCCCCCTTCTCCTCCTGCCCCTGGCACCCCTCTCTCTCTGCCTGTTGCTCGCAGAGGAGCGACCGTGCTCACAAATTGGCGTATCGGGTTTCCGGCTGGACTC